AAATGCTTCTGGAAAAAGAAGCCGATTTGGATGCTGAAGAGTAAAAAGTAGTCTGTGACATTTCTGAAACTGTAGTGCACCCCCATGGTTTTATGGGGCATTATTTTATTTATCAAACCACGGAGCCCAATGAAATTGACTGAAAATAAAGCCAGTTAAATAAAATCAAGTCTTGTCAAGTTCTGTACTACGCCATTATCAGACATAATCCTTCTGTGCCAGGGGAGGTTCTCTGCTTTAAAACAAGTGTGGTGTGTTTTATTTAGAAAAAAAAACTACCATCACCTTCACAGTGCTGGAAGAACCTCTCCCGACCTCAGAATGGTTTTGTTGCAGATCTCCGAGGTGGATTTCCAGGACTCGGTGTTGGTGCTGGGCTTCCCAGAGGAGCTGAACAAGCTCCTGCTCCAGCTGTACCTGGACAACAGGAAGGAGATCAGGAATATCCTGTGTGAGCTGGCGCCAGCTGTCCCTCATTACCACAACCTGGAGTGGAGGCTGGACGTTCAGGTTCGCCGGCTTTCTCGTTCTCTCCATAATTCCCCTTGCTTGTTTTTTTTCTTTGTGATGTATTATATCTGGTCGCACCTCGACCTCCAGGTTGGGCAGACTCAGTTTGTAAATCAGTGCAGTTTATTTGTCATGTGCACGAGTGCGGTAAAATGCTTATTTGTGTGTATGCTCCAATACAAAGACTTCTTGGAAACACCGGACACAGAACAACAACAACAACAACAGCAGCAGCAACAACAACAACTAAGTTAAATGACATAAAACTGAAATAAAAGTCAGCACAAGCACTGTGCAAAAAAAACCCATCAGCAACAAACATTATAATTGCCTTGGCTGCTGATCCCTCCAAGTTGTGCATTACCGCCTTCGGGGTCTCATACTGGTCGTTTCAGTCCCGCCGCTGGCTCTTGGTGTGAAATGGGATCACAGCCCAGAGCAGAGCTCTGGAAACCCTTGAGATTGGTGGAGGCTGTGGCCTCAGTGGAGAACCGTAGCGAACACACAGCTGAACCGTTGAAGGCGATGGGTAAAAGAGAGCGCTATATTCTGGGGCCTCCTGAGGGGCTGTCCAAGTAAAGGTGCCTACCTGGGCACAGCCCAAGCTCTCGCACCGCGGGTTTGAGTCTGGGTTCGTGTCACTAGCCCACTGTGACCGGGACCCCCCAGGTGATGCTGCCTGGTTATCCGAGCACCTCCGAGGATGGGGTGGGGTGAGCTGCCCGGGGCTCTCTTGGCTCTCGGCGACACAGCGCCCCCCCGTGCGGACGCCAGGGCTCGTGCAGGCCTGCGGTGCGGTCGGTGGGGGGCGCGGCTCTCCTCCAGCCTGCGCGGGCCCAGCGGGCCGGGGCGGTGCTGAACGTGACGCGTTCACACACCAGCGGCTGGAAGGCGAGGCGCAGGAGGAGCAGCGGGGGGGCGTGAAAAAGACCATCAGCTGCACTGCTGGTGGAGATAAAGCAGCAACCACACAAAACCACACAAAAATCCACTCCGGTCTGCTCTGTGAAGCTGGAATACCAGGTTAACGGGCTCTGGGATTAGAGAGCATTGTCGCCTGTAAACTCTGTGACAGTGACAGTGAGGCATAATTAATGAGCGCCTGTGAACTGAAGGCCTAATTACCTAATGAAAGGAACAAGTAATGGGTTTATTCCCTGCTGAAAAGAGAAGAGAG